TGCCATGTCTCTTTCACTGGCAGTTCTTCGCCATTCCTTTCCCCTTTGCCGGCGTCAGAAAGCAGCGCTTGGCCGGACGGACCACTGCAGCTGCCGTGTTGGGCTAGTTGCTGACTCGTCTTAGAGGGACTTCGTTGTTTACTTGGGAGAATGTGCCCTGCTGAGTTGCCACGTCTCTCTAGCAACAGTTCGGAGAAAAAAAAAGAAAAAGAAAAGCTTTATCCTAGGGGGGGGGGTGGGGGTGTGGGGGTGTGGGGGTGCAGGGGTGTGGGGGTGTGGGGGTGTGGGGATGGTGGTGTGTGGGGGTAGTGTGTGGGGGTGTGGGGGGGGGGTGTGTGTGTGTGGGGGTGGTGTGGGTGGTGTGTGGGGGGTCTCCCCGGACAGGACTCCGGACTCTTCATTGGCCTTCTGCAAGGCAGATTGATTGGAGTTAGCTCTGTTGACAAAGTAGTGGTCAGACCCAATTGCGCCTCAACCCCCTCAGTAGGAAAGCATTAACTTTGGCCCGGAGCTTGCAGCGCTGCGGTCAAATTGGCGGCTTCTAAGCCAGAAAAATGCTTGAATCGTATGATCGCGTCATGCCCTTGCAGACGCCACGTCTTTTTGCAAACACTCGTTCTCCAAAAACGTGCCCAGCTGTACCAAAGCTTCAAGGTTTGATTCATTTGACTGTTGGATGGCATGCATCCTGTCGGGATTTGTTGTCCAAGGTAAGCTATCTCTTCCATCTCTTCGTAGTCTCGTCCAGTCAAAACATCTTTCAACTGCGTTGCCGTTCATGAGCGAGAGAGAGAGAGAGAGAGAGAGAGAGAGAGAGAGAGAGAGAGAGAGAGAGAGAGAGAGAGAGAGAGAGAGAGAGAGAGAGAGAGAGATAGGGAGATAGCTCGATAGATGCGATAAACAAAACAAATAAATATGTTTAAAAAAAACATGATGGATGGATGGATGGATGGATGGATGGATGGATGGATGGATGGACGGATGGACGGACGGACGGACGGACGGACGGACGGACGGACGGACGAGGAGGGAGGGAGGAGGGGAGGGGAGGGGAGGGGAGGGGAGGGGAGGGGAGGGGAGGGAGGGGAGGGGAGGAGGGAGGGGAGGGGAGGGGAGGGGAGGGAGGGGAGGGGAGGGGAGGGGAGGGGAGGGGAGGGGAGGGGAGGGGAGGGGAGGGAGGGAGGGAGGGGAGGGAGGGAGGGGAGGGGAGGGAGGGAGGAGGGAGGGGAGGGGAGGGGAGGGGAGGGGAGGGGAAGGAAAGGGAGGGGGGAGGGGGGAGGGAGAGGGGAGGGGGGGGGGGGTGCCTGTCATTTCGGAAGCTGGGACTCTGTCATGTGTTCATCCCTTACCTAAACACTTTCAAGCCAGAGCGATGTGTAATGAATCAAAAAAAGACGGCGCCGCCTGTGGACATCATTTGCGCTGGGATTCTTGCCCGCCAACAAGTGGAACGTGTCTCAAAAAGAAGATGGTGGACTCCCAAACTGGGAGTCAAACCTCTTCCGCGCCCCCAATGCAAGACACAACCGTCAGTGCTCCCTTCAAAAGCGAGATGCCTTACATCCACCCAAAAACAGGTCCCTCGGTAGACAATCACTTCAGAACGCTAAAAAAAATCACTTGTGAACGCTGCCACTTTCGATCACTTCCGAACACTAAAACAAAATCACTTCAAAACACTGAGCACCCGGAACGCCGAAAGGGTTGCAAAACCCGGCCAGTCAAAAAGATCACTTCCGAACGCAGGCGTCCCAGCCCAGGATCACTTCCGTACGCAGGCAGGCGTCCCAGCCCAGGTGTGCAAAATCTAGTGGTTCTGGGGGGGGTGGGCCCGCTGAAGCTCTACACCCAAATGTGCAAATTCATCTGGTTCTGGGGGTGGGGGGTGGGGTGGGGGGGGGGGGCCATGATAAGCACACACGCTGAAGCTCGATCCCCAAATGTGCAAATTCATCTGGTTCTGGGGGTGGGGGGTGGGGTGGGGGGGGGGGGCATGATAAGCACACCCGCTGAGCTCTATACCCTTTCAAATGTGCAAATCATCTGGTTCTGGGGGTGGGGGGTGGGGGGGGGCCATGACAAGCACCCCCGCCGAAGCTCTATACCCAAATGTGCAAATTCATCTGGTTCTGGGGGTGGGGGGGGGGGTGGGGGGGGCCCCGCCGAAGCTCTATCCCCAAATGTGCAAATTCATGTGGTTCTGGGGGTGGGGGGTGGGGTGGGGGGGGGGGCATGATAAGCACACCCGTTGAAGCTCTATCCCCAAATGTGCAAATCAATCTGGTTCTGGGCCGGTGTCTTGGTGCTGCGCGTGGCACGTGGCTCCACTTCCAGCGTTCCGAAGCGATTAGTACGTTTTCCGGCGTTCCGAAGCGATTTTGCTTCAGCGTTCTGAAGCGATGGTTTTGCCAGCGTTCAGGAGCGACGCACTTACCGGTCCCTCGGTCCCTCCCGCCAATTGACATGGAACCTGAGACAAAAGGAAAGTGGCCCAAACCAGGAACCCCCCGAACCTCAGGCTCCACCTTCGGTGGGAGAATACCTCCACTCTTTCAGGACCCCCCCGGAAGGTCAGGTTCCGTCTCGTTGGGAGGGTAAAGGCACGCCCCGCTGCTCCTCAAAGTCTGCAAGACTTTCGTGGGCTCCGGCCGGAGCCGGGTGTCCCGAATATTCAGCTCGAGCTTGGGCTCAGGCGGGGCGATGCTGACGTGCGTCGCCTGAGAAGCAGCAAGTGGATGGAGGCGGGTTGGGCCAACCCCTTTCAGCTTCCTTCCAATTGGTGGTGTGGATTCGTGGTTTGGAGGTCAAGGGGGTGGTTTCTCTTGTACCCTCTACATGGATTCATGGTTTGGAGGTCAAGGGGGTGATTTCTCTTGTACCCTCCACAAGAACCAGTTCAAATCCAAATCCAAACCCCCAATCCAAGCAGCCAAGGGTTGCCTGATCTTCAAACCCTTGTCGAAACAACCTCCTTGGGGTTCCCTTCAAGGGTCATCAGGGTCGGGTTCTGACAAAAAACGAGTCTTGAGCCCAACCCGGCTATGCAAATGAGATCCATTCAACCTGAGAACCACGGAAAATACCATCAAAGACGCCGCATTTGGGGTTGGGACCACTCAACAAGCAGGGCTTTGAACATGAAACTGATATGGGTTGCGCGGCTTCCATGTCAAAACCACACACACATGCATACAGTAGAGGGCCCCCACAAGGCATGTATCACACGCCCTTGGACCCCTGTTATGGTTCATGCTTCAGGGGCACTAGCATGAAGCCAACCACCGGACTAGAAGGCGTTGACATTTCTTTGGCCAAGGCTATCATAGTTGTGGGTTCGGATGCATGGCACAGGTCAGGCCTCGCCTACCCTGTGCCCGGCCCAGGAGGATACGGATTTCTGAACCCCTTGTTTCCTTGCCCGGCAAGCGGCCAGGTACTGGGCATCATGCCGGAAGGCATCGGTCGCGGGCTTCTCAATCACATCCTCCCGGAGGTCCTCCGCCGTGGGCGCCGTCTTGGCGCAAAAGCTCTGGAACTCATCCTCCTGAGGCTGACCCGCTGAGCCGCTGAGCCGAGGCCGAGCAAGCCAAGCCGTTGCACCTGTTCAAGCCAGTTGAAAAGCATTGCGCCTCTGACAGTTGCAATTTGGGTGCGGCTCAGAATTAACGAGCCAGGGTTACGCTGGTTTTTGTCTTTTGGTTCCACTTTGCCATGGTGCCATTTTTGGTACATGTGTTTGACCCACAGCCATCTGTGTAAAAGCGAGGCGACTATGTGGAGGCCAGCCCGAACCAAGAGTCTGGTGTCAAGGAAGGAGCATCAGGCCTTCAAAGGATGACAATTGAAGATCACACACCACAGCACTAGCCAAGAGCTCTTGGAACCATGTTCTGCAAGCTACACCTGCGAGACTGAGCGAAAACCCTTCAAGACCTGCCCAGGCACTTGCCGCTAAAATTGCCACTAAAATCCTGAGGCCTGTCAAAGCAAAAGGCCCCCCTACTTGGCTTGGGTAGGGAGCTCCAATAAGCATGCACAGCTGTCATTTATTTCCATTTGCTTCAGTCCCCTGGCAAAAATGACAAACAAGTATGTCCAGTACTGAAATCGACTCCAGCTCCAAAACAAGCAGGGGGAAAATTAGCAATATTCCTTTCAGCAAATGGAAGCCTACCATACCTGCCCCACCATGGATGTCCTCCCGGAGCTTGGCCCGCTCGGTGGCGGACACCCGGGGGTAGCTGCGGCGGGCCGCCACGGCCATGGCGAACACTGGGCAGGGGTTGAGCCGCGGACCCAAGGTGCGCGAGTTGGGGGCATCGCAGCGGCGCGTCGAAACTTCGGGCTGGTCAGTCGCCTCTCTTTTTTCTGGGGGATCCCGAAGGAACGGTTGACCCAGGGCTGGTCATTCGACCAAACTTTGGCCGAGCGCCAACGCGGACACATCGACTCCACATCCGGACCCAAGCTCACGCTGGAAAAAGGAAAAAGCAAGGCTGGCCAGGTTTCAATCCATCCGAAAGACCCTATTTTTCACGCTGGAACAGAGGGAAAAAAAGAAGCAAGGCTGGCCAAAGGCCTGAACAAACCTAAACGTCAGACATAAAACCTGCGAAGCCCGTCCCCAATGAGCAAAAATTTATCTGCGAAAGCCTTGCGGCTTGCACCTAGCCCCTTCACTCCCAACGGAAGGACCCCATGTCAATTTAATGATCATCCAAACATTTGCGCAAAATTGTACTGGCAATGTGGCCCACTGTTGCAGCTAGTCGCCTACATCTATATCGTTCACACCCACTTCCCCCCCCCAACAAAAAAAGAGCGCAGCCACCCCTTCCCCCTCAAAACGATACAAACCGAGCTGGCAATGGCCATCCACAAACTCAGAGACTCAGATCTTCATTTCTATGACGATTACCCTGGTATCACCATCACGTTGCTCTATGTTCTCTCCCGAACAACCAAAACGCGCGTGTGCCGGTCAATTGGGGCGCCCGTGCGCACCGCACGCGCAAGGCGCAGCAGCCGCAGCATGCGCACCAGCATCACCTGCCCCAAGGAACAACTGCAAATGGTTGCGGATCGACCCGTTGAATGGTCCTGACAAATGGGTCCTAGGATGCTGTGCACATATTTCTCCTGTGCAATCTGGAACTGTTCATTAGAAGTCGTTAGGTCAGAGCGGAGAATAGTGGACCCAACCCCGCCCAAGATCAAGCCGTGACGCCTGCGAAATCCTGCCCTGGAACCCACTTGTTTGACTATTGTTCCATGTTTCCCGCTGGCCGCATTCGATTGGCATGGCGCCCCTTTGGGCGAATCAATTTACTCACAGGACCCAGCAAAACGCAGGTCGATTGACCTGTTCAACGTGAAGTATTGCTCGGCCACTTGCTTGGTTTGCACTGCGCCCAGTCAACAATAAACCTTGCCAACCTCATGGAATCCTTGAAGTTGCCTTACGATGTGGCCTTACCAAGCCCACCCACCGGCCATTACAATTGGTCCATCTGAGATGCTTTAGCACTACACCTTCCACCTTGTCAACGAGCCGGAACTGCAGCATCAAGGACGTTTGACTTCGGCCGCGGCCTTGCCACCACTGAGCCTAATTGTTTTCCCTCTATATTTGTTTTGTTCATGCATCTACAAATTATTTTCTTTATAGGCACACTGTGTGACAAACTCAGGGCAATATCACTCTGTCTTGATGGCTCCCGCCGTGTTTGGCTCCCTTCCGTGCCTGGTTCAGGAGGTCATTCTGGACATTCAAAAGCTTGAGGAGGAGATCGCAGGTACTGGAAATAATGAGGAAGAGGTCGAACTTCACCCAGTTGCTGCGGAGACAGATGCGGCCGTAGGCATAGAACCGCAGGCAAAACCTGGAGCAAAAACTGCGGCCCCCATCAGGTTTGCAGGGGCATGCGGTGCCACCGAGGGGCTCTGCAACATACACCTGAGTAGGCATGCTTGAGACCACGGCAGACGGCAGCAACAACAAGAACAACGACGACAACGACGACGACAACAAAAGCGACGACAATGACGACAACGACAACGACCACTACAGCAACAACGACACAGACACAGCGCCACCAAGGACAACAGCGACAAATATGGCACCGACAACAGCGACAGTACTGACAACACCGACAACAACGACAACAACGATGACGACAAACGCAGCAGCAGCAGCAGCAGCAGCAGCAGCAGCAGCAGCAGCAGCAGCAGCAGCAGCAGCAGCAGCAGCAGCAGCAGCAGCAGCAGCAGCAGCAGCAGCAGCAGCAGCAGCAGCAGCAGCAGCAGAGAAGAAGAAGCAGAAGAAGAAGAACAAGAAGAAGAAGAAGAAGAAAAACACTCGTGCCAACCCCGGGCCCACACGAGCCGAGATGCCAGGAAGAAGGCATAGTCCACCAGGGTTAGCCACAGAGGCACAGGCTCCTGAGAAAGGGATCGAAACCCTCACCCACGAAACCCAGCAAGACCAGCACCAGCAAGAACAGGAACCAACCAATGGCTGGCATGGTCTGTTTCTCAATCTAACCAAGACTTGCCAAAAAGCCAAACAAAACCTAAAAAGAAGTGGCAGCGCAGCAACTACAGGACTGCCCTATTCTTTGTCCATCGGCGCAGCCCCAAGACGGTTTCATCTCAATCTCAGGCAAGCATCGCAATGTCCGGCGTCTTCTGGGCAGACCTTGGCTCAGGCAGCATACGCAGGCACCGCAAGATTGATCTAATTGGCCAAGGCAGCCAAGGCCGAGTTGAGGATGGATGGGGTGGAACATCTAATATGTCAAGTGGCCCAATGGCCAGTATGTGCACCAGGTAGGCAGGTAGGCAGGTAGGCAGGTAGGCAGGTAGGCAGGTAGGCAGGGAAGCAGGTATGGGGAAAATCCACATCTCCCAGCCGCTTCCCGAAAACAGAAGACATGGCACAGAAACACTGATGCGTGGAAACATCGATGTCCTCGGAGAAGCCGAAAACAAAATCAAGGCGCCTCTTCCGATGTCTCGGCCGAGGGGCGCAGAGGGCGTCGCAGCCCAAAGGTAGAGCCGCATTGAAGTGAGCTTCCAGGCCGATCGTCGCTGCCTGCGCCCACTCAGTCGGCGAGGTTGGCTGGGGCTATGTTTTTTTTCATCAAGAACGCCCTCCCAAATGGCCGGTGGACCAAACAAAACAAATGGCTGGTGGACCACCAACAAAATAAAATAAAAAAGACTAGCTAGATCATGTCCACCAAAGGCTCCCTCATTACAATGCTCCCTCCGTGTCGCGGGTTTGGGTCCGTTTGAGTCAGGGTGGGTCCGTCGCTTGGGCCGTCCCTGAACCAACCTCCGATCCCACCGGGCTCCCGGAATCGGAAAAAGCTCCCGTTTGCCCGGCGCCGAGGGCTGCGCGTTCGCAATGATGACAAGGCCAATGAGAGTGTCGAAGCCAGACCTCCGAAACCAAAACTGGTGGCCGAAAAGCCTAAAGCCCATTGCCCTCCGGGTAGAAGTGACTTGGGCCTTTTTTAATGATTGGCGGCGTTTTGGTGGCTGGGTGATCTTTTCCCTTCGCTGCGCGCCAACCATTGCGGCGAGGCACGGCCTGTCGAGCCCTCTCTAGCAACTCTAGTGCCCCAGTGTGTCGGAGCTTCTCGAAACCAAAGCAAATCAGCAATAATCATTTGCGTTAGGGTTGTGGTGTTGGCATTGCTCGCTGCATAAGCACCCGGTCTCCGGCATGTCTTGCACCGCAGCCATGCTGCAGTGGACTCAAGCTCGGGCTTGGTAGAGCCGCACAAGGCAGAGGTCTTCGACTTGGCGCACTTTTCGCCGTTGGGGGTTGCGTGTCCAACGCATCCTGGGCCTTTTCAGCCCGCTATGACCACATCATCGGAGGGCGCGCGTCCCCACTCTCCCCCTCCCCAGCTCTCTATTGGGCCCCCTGGCCAGGAGATCCAGCGGTGAAAGAGCAAACGGGAGCCCTGCAAACTCTTCACATCCAGCCGCATCGCCTCACATCTAGCAGGAAACGCGAGCGAGGGGAGAGACTCCGGACGAATGTGGACCCCCTATGCGTCAAGCCCAGTTTGTGCTGAGGGTGACTCAGCTTCTTGTTCATGAATAGGGGGTGTTCCCTCCAAAAGTGCTACAAAGATCACCCACTCAAACCAGGGAAACCCCCCTATTCATCAACTGGAATTGATTAATGGGGGTCAAACATTACGATGATCAACTTGAGTCAAAGGATTACCCTCAGGTGAGCACGCTCGACAGTTTCAAGGGTGACACGATCCAAGACACCGCAAGCAAGACTCCAAGGTCTCCCCAGTTGTGAAAGACGAAGGGGATTTCAAGTCGGGCCCTGGCTCCAAAGCACCAGCCATCTAGCCCGTCCCATGTCTGACTGGAAAACACCCCTGCGCTCCCCCTCCATCGGAACTGATTTCACCAACCATGCTTTCCAGGCTGGTTGCATGCATGCAGCATCCAGTAAGAAGGCTGGATCGTGTGTTTTTCTCCATGCAAATGGGGTTTTACGAACATCATTGTGGACGACATGGCTGCTAAGGGCACTCAGGACCTGCTCGGTGGATACAAATACATAGAAAGTTTCGCAGGACGGCTGCTTAAGAGCTGAGGACCAAAACTTGACGATCACTAGGCAGTGAGCCGTTTCGGCGCTCAAAGATTTCGAAGCACCTCTGATAATGCCGCCCCAAAAATATCCCTGCCCTCACTCCGCACATCTGACCAGTGACCAGTCCCTTCCTGCCTTTGCCACCTCCGTGGCCTTGTTGCCGAACTGCGAGTCCCGCCACTCGAGGTCCTGCGGATTTGTCGGGGTGGGGAACCCCCCAGACCTCCGATGACAAGGGGGAAGAAGGACTGGTTTGAGGCCCATCAGCCACAGAAATCCAGCTATTCTTCAGCTTGAAACCGCGGCTTTCGGGCGAAAAACACACAAGGCTGGAACAACCACACTGTTAACGCGCGAGTGCACGGTCTATGGGTTTCCAATTGCAAGAAAACACAGCACATCAAGTACAATACCGCTTAACTGCACCCATGCTGGCTGCCGTCTAGCGTAGGAGGAAAGAGTTGGCCGCTCATGGTGGCTAGCCCACATGCGTCTCAAGCGCATCCCGCTGGGCAAATGATGCTTGCTCACTCAGGCTTGCATTTTCCTGCTCACAAGGTCGTGGTCACGATAAGGCCTGGAGATGTGGCTCAGGTAGGTGAGTGAGGCCCATTGGGCGGGTCGCTCCGATGACGCGGTCGTCCAAGGAAAACGAATCATCCCCGCCCCAAATGATACACGCCTCGTGGCTTGCAATAGTTGTCAAATGCACAGCACAGTATTCATAAGCCCTGGCTTAGTGAACTGCTGGAGTTGCATCTCCTTGTTGCGTGACTCAGATGGTTAGTTTGCTCCGAGCATTGGGGCAAAGCGGGCACCGCGACCATAAGAATGAGCATAAGGACGGGGACGATGATGATGACGACGACGACGACGACGACGCCGACAATAACCCCGCCGACGATGCTACTCACTACGACGGCGATGAGAATGATCACGACGACGGCAACGACAACGACGACTGCGCCTGCACCTTCTGCGCCACGCTGACGCTGTGCCGGAGTTCCTGACGACTTCGGTGGAGGCCCCACGTTTCCTGACGAAATCCTACAAACCCCCCCCCCCCCCACGGCCGCCCCGCCGTTCACGCGCACACACACACACACACACACACCAGGGGCCCTTCCTCTCCTCAGCTGCCGGCCCCCAACAAAGGTAAGGTTGACCAGCCAGAGGCTCCCATGACTGGTCTGGATTCCAGCCAATCTATGTAACGAAACTCACTTGGCTTGCATCACAGCAATCAGTTCATGCGGGTTTGGGTGGGTAGGCACGAAAATTAGTGATCCAAATGCATGCTGCACTGAAATAGAGGTTGCAAACGATCCTGGGTGTCAGCCCCCCAAGCGCCCTAGACCCCCTTCTGGGCTCATTTGTAGCCGCTGCATCTGACTACCCTCCGACACGCGCACATGCAACCTACAAGGCGCGCATGGTCGGCGATGCACTCACAGCCCTCAACTTGGCAAGTGTTGACAGTACCTTTTTTGCAGTTGTTTTTGCACCGAAGCTTGAAGGAAACCATCTGTTTGTTGCTGTTGTTGGTTTTCGGGGGGCCATTTGGAGGAACGCTCTTTCACTCATTACTCATCGCCATCTCCGGACGCACTTGAACCTTTCATCCCAGCGGCTCGCATCGTCTCTTCCCGGCGCGAAGCCCGTGGGGCGGGCGCCTCCTGGAAAGGGCATAGGTGCAGAGTTGTTCCTACTGTGGCTGGACGCAATGCACTGTGAAACCAGAATTCCATAGAATTGTCAACCCAGGGTCAATCAACCCAAGTGAAAACGGGAATCCTCCCGCGAAGTGATGAGGATCCGTGTGTGCAATCGAGCAGGGGTTGGATTTGTTAGTCACCTGGCTCTGAATTGACAACCCCTCAAAGTAGTTGCTGACGTACATTTATGATGTCCCTCAAACGGTCCATGCCCAAGTGAAATTCATCCACATGCCGGGGCGATGCTTGCAAGCGACGTCCAAAAGTTCCCGCGTGCGCCTTGCTTCCCGCCTTGCTTGTGCCGGCGCTGCGCTGCCTAGCCGAAGTCAGTGCGAAAGTTGCGGTGGGCAGGGTACCTCATTGTCATTTTAGCCAATCATTTTGAGAGGGTTGCGCATCAAAAACCATAGCCAGATAGGGGAGAACTAGGGTTGCCCCCCACCACTCGTAGTGGAAAAGGGAATGTTTGACAGACTGCCACCAAGGTGCCCACCCCGCCCCTTAATCAAGGCTGTCCTCTTCCCACCCCATTGCCAGCCAATACTACTTTAAAGGGGCCCAAAAGGTTTGGCAAACAGAACTCTTTAGTTTTGGGCCGTTCCCAAAACCAAACAAAAACTGCTAGCCGCAAACAACAAACTTCTTAATACATGCTGTTTGTTTGACAGGCTCATACTAAACTCTCCTGAAAACTAAGCCCTCTGCGCTGGAAGTAGAAAACGCAATTTCACTGTCCTATTGCTGTCAGGGAGGGCTAGAGAGGACGGGATTAATAGGGAGCGGGGAGGGGGGGGCAGGGACCTTCAAAACTAGACTCCTAGATTTTCTGGATCTTGTTCTCCTTTCCCATGCCGCCTTTGGCATAATCGCCGGTCGACTAAACAGATTTTCTGGACCTTGTTGACCTTCGCGAGGGGAGCTTAATAAGGGGTAAATATTACACGCGGTCTCCCGACTGAGACGGGTTCAGCGGCCTGCAATTCGGGGATGCACTCACTTTAGAAAAATCAAGCGCGACAACCCTCTTCCCTCCAATGTTGCCATGCCAGTTGCTATATTTCTCATGGCGACGTAGAGTCAACGACATGCTTGCAGCCATGTCTCATTTGAATGGTATTTCCTACAACTTGCGGTACTCTTAACAGAATTAAAACTGCTCATCCTTCAACAAGTCGGCTCCTTGCAGTTGTTCAAGGCGCCGACAAGCAAACAGAAGCAAGCAAACAAGCAGGCAGGTAGGTAGGCAGGCAAGCAAGCAACCGAACAAGCAAGCAAACAAAGAAGCAGGCAAGCAAGCAAACAGACAATGAACCAACAAGTAAGGCAGGCAGACAGGTAGAATGACAGACAGCCAGGCAGGCAGACAGACAGCAGGGCCAACAAGCAAAGCAAAGCAATGCAAAGCAAAGCAATGCAGAGCAAAGAAAGCTAAATAACTAACTAGCTAACTAGCTAACTATCTAGCTAACTAGCTAACTAACTAGCTAACTAGCTAACTGACTAACTAGCTAGCTAACTCACTAACTCACTAGCTGACAAACCTAACCTAACCCTGACCAACTAACTCACCCGCTAACTAACTCGCCAACACAACACAACAACACCAAACACAAAAACCCTCAGACAGAAACCGAGAAAGGTAGAACGAGAGGAAGCGAGAACGAGACGAAGAGAGAAATGAACAGAGAAAACAAGAACGAAAGAAAGACAGAAAGAAAGAAGAAAGAAAGAAAGAAAGAAGAAAAAAAAAGACCTAAAGCAAGAAAGATGCAAGAAAGATAGATAAAAAAGGAAGACATCAGTCTGGGCACGATCTCCTGCTGCCCTGCCTGCCATCCTCTGATTTGCAATCACCTGGATCCGGGGTGATGACGATGGCCGGCTTCCTGAGCGTGCACCAGCTGCAACTCAAGCCAACTGGCTCTCAACCTTGCGATCGGTGCGAGAGGTGGGGAATGAGGCCGGGTGTTGGGAATGAATCTAGGGATGTTGAAGGAAATGGGATGGGAATGAATGAATCTAGGGAGGAAACCATGGGATGCGTTTTTTTCTCGGGGTCACTCCATTTCTCATCCCCTGCCGATCGAACTAGCCAGCAACCAGACCCCTCGCAGCCAGAGCTCAGGGCCAGGCACCCATTCAATGCTCGCGGCCGTTTGCCGCAGCAGGAAGGACTGGCCAGGAGCGGCTCACCCCGACGTCGCTGCGATTGAGACCGAGGCTCCCCCGCACAGAAATCACTGCACTTGGGGCCCCGCAACTGGAAAAAAGGCATGGGGAAGGGCGGCTTTGGAAGGGCATGGACCTCGCCTGCGCAGTGCTGGCTGCGGACTCCGTGTCCAAGGCCTGGCCACGTCTCTCAAAGACCCCTCCCCCAAGGCGCACTAGCCACACGGGTCGCTTTTCTCCAGCGCGCGCCGCCCTTGCCAAGCCTCAGCGCACGCCAAGTGGTCACATGGTCAAAGCCAGGCGGTCAGGTGTGAAAGCAAGAAGGAAAACATGCCCTCTTGACATCTCTTGGGGTTGGTCTAGGTCTACCCCTCCCCAAAACAAACATGGAACCTGGGAGGGCCAACTTTATACGGCCTCCTTCCGGCTCCATGTTTCCTTTTGGCGGGGATATCACCTCCGCTGTCCAGGGTTGAGCCATGGCGCGCTCAGGGCAGCGGCGGCGGCGGGCGCCAGGAGAGCTCCTTCTTTGAGAGCTTCCGCACCGACTCCTCGAAGAATCGCCCACGCGCTCACAAAAATCTATGCGGCTACCTCAGCTACCCAAAGGACCCAGAAATCACAGGTGGTCACCCCAAAAATTTGGGGGTTACTAGAAATGGACCAAAACGAGAAAAGCCAAAAGGTCAGAGTTCCCTGATGTTTTATCGAGCGTCAGAAAAGGCCGGGGCGCGCCCAAATCCAAAAACAAGCAATACCCGAAACAGGGGGGGGGACCGTTTCCTTTAGGCCGCCTACCTCCCAAGCACCGACGTACGCAGGGCCTGGGTCTCGAAGTTGTAGTAGAACCTGAGGCCTCAGGTTCGACACATCCCGACTTCCGAAAAGGTGGCGATCCCGGCCTTGGGCATCATGGAAGGGGTGCCATCGTACATTGACGATCTGCTCCTTTGACGTGCCCTCAGACTTCATCTTGAAGCCTGCGTTTGTCTTTGGCTTCGGGTGTCAACTTGTCGCCTCCGACAAGTTGAAAACCGCCCGCGGATAAAAGTAGAACCCAACCTACTTGGGGGCTTTTGAAATTGGTACACTCCCAGACCCGTGATGCATCGAGGCGGCTGTACAAGGGAATCCGCCCCCTCCCAAAACAAATGACGGGGAAAAGAGGCACCACTGGAGGTCTGAGAAACTTTGTCAGCTGGCCGCACGTCCTTTTTGCTTCCCCCTTGAGACCATTCTGAAAGGGGTAGCCTCAAAAATACCGCCACTGAACGGGGGTGACTTTGATCATGGTAACATCATGAGGCCAACCTCCAAAAGGGGTATCCTCAAAAAGAACCACCCCCACCTTCAAACCTTTTTGGGCCCTCAAAAACAAAACTCCCCCGGCTTCAACCCCAGAGAGGGGTTTCCCCCCAAACATAGGTGTCCTTTTAGGGAATGATCAAGTAAACCACCGGGTAAACCAGGACCATCGATTTTCTGGCAAAACCACCACAAAGGACACCTGTGCAGATGCAGTGCGCAATGATGGCAAGTCCCCAAACCTTCTGCCGCCCCAAGCCCCAAACCCTCTGCCTGCCATGGCCAGCTCCAGCCGCGGGTGCTGCGCCCGCCGGCCCTTGCCGTGCAGCCGCTGGAAGCACACCCGGCAGAAGGAGCCTGACGAAACGAAACCGCCCGAAGAGGGAAGCCGCAAAGCCAACAAGCTCAGGCCAAAAGGCGCGAATATGCATATATATATACATATATGTACATATATATACATATATACGTGGCAGGGACCTTTTAGTAACATTTGTCCTTGCTGCTTTTCCTTCTTATGATCATGCTTTTGATAATGCCTGAGCGACCTCGTGCAGAAAGCTTACAAACCCGCCTACCCAAGAAAACGTGTTGTGTGTTCGTACGCGCCCGCGTGTAGGTGCATGTCTTATCAGCATTAGACCAAATCAGGCTTGCGTTCCACTCGTATTTTGACAGCTTTGGATGCTGCACTTACTGTCATTCATGCAATGCTATTAGCCAAAAATATGTACCCCTATTGTTTTGTGAAGCTGTATACTGTGCAAAATCGAGAATTCTAACAAGAGTTAAACTAAGTCCTGTCAGACCTTTTGCAACTGCAGTTCAAATTATCTTCGTTAAAACCAGCGTAGTTCAAAATCAAAGTTCCAAACAATTCATACTGTTGGCATTATGTTGGTTCTAACTGTTAAGTTATACATATATATGTATATATTTACAATTCGTCCATAACTATTTTGTAGTGTGCAAAAGTTTCGGGCTTAGGTTATTCAGTTTTCAATAACTCTCATTACCGATACTTTTCATGCTTCTTTTTATGACCGCCTACTAATCTGCCTAATCCTTTCTTTTCAAACATGTCATCAATATGTTTTCTCGTCTTCGTTGTTGCTTTTTGGCTAACTTAACTGTTCATTAATACGTTCGTTCAATATATTTACACTCTTACTAATATCTTCAATTTGTTCAACCAATCCAAAACCATATTCTTTTCACCTTCCGACGTCTATTATATATTATATATAAATACTTATAGAATTTGTTGCTTTATTTCAAATCACGCGGCTAAAGTAATGCTAGCTCTATAAGTACTTTAGAAAGCTATTACTTCATCATGTTCTTATGGTTTCTTATCCTTCATTACATCGATCATCTGATGGCACGACGCCGCGGCCAAAACATAAGGCAACAATAAGCACATCAATTTCAAGAATAATATCTCCGACTTTGCGACTTTGGACTTATCCATGTCATGTTCGTACCTTTCTTGCTTGTTTTAGCACTATTAGCACACAAAAGCATTTATAATTCCCTCCCTTTTGCATTTCTAATCTGTTCATTACTTCTAACATTTTCTGACGGGCCGTCCACATAAACTCAATGGCTCATATTTGTTTAGTAACCTTTTTTTTCCTTCTTCTGTGGGGAACCACATAAAAGCGTTGTTGCTCTTTCCTCCCACATTAACATGTTTGATATATCTTTGTTCTTAATATTTCCGCATCGCTGCTTGCTGAAACCTGTGCAGAAAGTTGACACAACCGCCGACACAAAAGAAGTGCATTGCGTGTGAGCACAAGTGTGCCACAAGTAGCATCTCTTTTCAGCGCCTTTTCTCCTTGAGCCAAACACCACAACACAACTAACGCAAATGCTTGAGCATCATCCTAGGCCAGTAGACTCGGCTCCTGCTGCATCTCACTCTACGTTCTCGAGCAAAGTTGTTTGCTGCTGCTGTTGGCGCCGACCTTGTGCAGAAAGCGAAAACAAACGGACAAATGAGGCGGGCTGTCTGTGAGCGCAGGTGCGCCACAGTTAGCATATGGCTACATGATGCTATCAGTGCCCTTTTTCCCCTTGAGCCAAATATGTCAGCGTGGCAAACCTTGCAAATGCTTCAACATCATACTGGGCCAAGAGCCCGGCTCTTACTGCATCTCACTCCACGCTCTTAGTCAAAGCTGTTACGCTTAGGCTTCGCCGACTGGCAGCCTGTAAGGGAGAGAGCAGGGAAAGGAAGGGAGATGGGAGAAGCTGTGAGAAGAAAAGAAACAAAGTAAGAAAGAATGAAAGAGAAAAAAAGAACGAGAAAAAGAAAGAGAGAGAGAGAGAGAGAGAGAGAGAGAGAGACAGAGAGAAAGAAAGCAGAAAGAAAGAAAGAAAGAAAGAAAGAAAGAAAGAAGGAAGGAGAAGGAAGGAAGGAAGGAAAGAAAGAGAGGAAAGAAAATGGAATTAGGGGGAAAGAAGCGAGCTCCTTAGTATATTTTTATATTTGCGAGACGCCCCCTCCATTCGTAGCCTCTGATGCTTCGTTAAGGATGCTGGCAACGTTGATTTTTTTTGCTGGCCGCAATCTGAACCTATTGTAATTAATTGGTCAATGACAGAATGAGCTGACCGGCATTTTGCCTACAGCCTGCGTCAATAGCCATCATGGGAGTAAGCTTGCCGGTCGTTTTCGAACCGGAGGATGCGCGTTCTTTGGCAGGGACGCATCGCGCACACCTCCTCGCCGCACCCCGTCTTTTCTTTGCAGCGTGAAAGGTGATCGTCTTTTTGCACGGTGAGTCTGCGAGTTTGGCGATGAGCTTGCCGGTCTCTTACGAGCAGCTCGTACTTGTCTTTGCTGCTCTTGCCGCATCAGACTGATTGGGAGACTTGCCTTCCCAATCCTGTTCATCGAGCACCAGCTTTGCCATTGCCTTAAGGTCCACATCTCAAGGCTAGCAACCCGTGCGAGCACCGTGGCCTGCTTGAGCTGAAAAGAAGTGGGATGATACATTGCCGCGTTGTGAGATAGAAGCTTGCCATACTGAAGCACAAGCAGCTTGAGATCCAGAACAGCCTGATGCATCTGCTGTGTCTGGTTGAACCAGCAGTTTATCTCTCGGTGAGTGATTCATTGCTTGTTGTTCCCACGTGAATGGTGAGCAAAAGCCATGTAATGCCTGGACCGAATGTTGTTCATGTACCACTCGAGACGGTCTGGAGATGTCGCGGTCCACAAGAGTTCGCAAACTTTCCTATTCGAAAGAGCTGCAAATGCCTTGACAATTTCCATCCTGTCATAAAAAGGCACACTGTAATCCGTAGTGTGAAGGGTTTGCTTGGCTGTCCGCAGTGGCACGCCGCCGTCCTTGATGCGGTCACGTTGAGCCTGCTCTCTGGGTGTCGGCTCGGGTGGCGCCGTACCCTCATACACGCAGCCCCAATGCTCAGCTGTTGCTTGTGGATCCCGCACACTGAGCTTAATGAGGACTGCTCGCAGCGCTTTGCTGCCAGGTGTGCGTTTTTTCCAAGTTGAGTACTCCCACGCAAAGGCCAAGCGCACGGAATCTAGGCTGAGCATCACAAGGTTGGGGCAGACTCGCCGCAGCTGCCGGGCCAGTGCACTTGAAGGGCTGTCGCTCGCAACGAACTGCATTTGCGCTACAGCATGGGCTGGAAGCTCTGCCAGCGCAGTAACAATAACCTCAGCAGCTTCGCTGGGCACGGCGTGAAGCAGTAGAACTGCATTGGTTCTGCCGCGGACAATCAAAACCTGTGCTGGCACAATAGTAAAATCAGTTTATAAGCTGAAACCGATAGAGGCCAAGTTGTAACAATGACTGAAAGGAAAAGCAAGAGCAGAATAAAAGAGAGAGCAAAAG